AACTTACAAGGGTATACAATAGTATTTACTTAAATGATAAATAATATAAGCAATAGAAAGTATAAATAGAATTTAATAAAAAATTAAAATGTTTTATTTATTTTCAACTACTTTAATTAGCAATTAGTTTCCTAATTTTTATTTAAAATTGCGATGTTAATACATTTTTAAATGCTGGTATACTTTTATTAATTTTGTTTTATATGATTTTATATATGTTAGTGATATTATGTTTAAGAGATTTCAATTTTGTTATTTGTTTAGCATTTATTTTACTCTACTTTTAAAACACTTTGAGTCAAAGTAAAATTTTAAAATTAGGTTTTTTAATTAAGCCATAAAAGTCGTTTTTCAATCTTTATTGCGTTTTCTTATTTTAAAATATTTATTTGTTATTTTAGAATACTGTAGAAATAAAATTAGAATAAAATAAAAACTAGAAGAGACTGATCACATCTTAATCATATTGTTCTTCTAACAATGCTTTACTGGATATATTTTATTTATAAAGTTAGCAAATTTTGAAATTATATTTTTAATGCTTATGCACTTTGAAAGAAACTACTTTTAATGAAACTTAAAGCAAGTAGCATGCAAGCTATTAATTGAGTTGTTGATGATATATTCTCTGTATAGTACTGCCTGTTCATGAAATGAATAATAGTAAAAGCGAATGGGAATACCAGCTGTTAAATCGTCCATTGAAATTATTAGCTTTGCAATGACAAAAAAGATAATTCTTTTATAAAAAAAGATGGATTATTGATAGTTGTCTTATTTAAGAACTGCTAAGGTGCATGTAGGGACAGCTAGGATGCATTTGATCCATTCAAAAGTATCCCAAAACACAAATTTAAAATTAAAAAAAAAAATTACTAAATAAATAAAGTTTTCAGAATGATTTAAAATTAGTTCCAGTTATTAAAGCAGTTTTTAAGATTAAAAATCTACAATTTTTTAAGCATAAATTAATACATTTTAAAACTTCACGACTAGATTTGTTTAATAAAATCTTCGCGGATTCACTCAGAACAGAAATAGGAATTTTAACCAAACCAGATTGTGAAAATGCCACAAATCAGTTTTTTTATTGTGTCTCTATTTATTTATGAATCTGATTATTTTTTTTCTCTAAATAAGTCTTTTTAAATTTTGAATATTATTATTAGCTTTAATTCTAATAATTTTCAGGGCATTTTTTACTAAGCGACTAATTCAAAACTAGCTGGGCGGACCCGTAAAATACGGGTCTTTACCGAACCGACCATTTTTATACTTATCTGATCATTTCTATAGCTATCAGGACATAAAATAAGGGTCTTAGTAAATCTATTCCACACCGACCTTTTCTATACTTATTCCTTACCTCAATATTTTTTTAAAACCGTTTAAAAACTATGTACATATAAAAAACTATACTTACTTTTTGATATGACAAAAAAATTTCATTATATAACGTTATAATGTTCTTTAAAAAACTTTAAACGCTTTTAATATTATGCCGATTATAAAGATTTTGATAAGAAAAAACGTAAAAAAGACTACGAACTTTGAAAAATGCTAAAACATTCAGCACGTGATGCCGTTAAAGTACGCCTTAGTTAACGTTCATAACATATACACATCTAATTAGATTTTTTTTAAATTCAGTTGTTCCAAACTTGGTTTTGAATTTTTAATTACACTTCTTATGCGTCATAAATTATCTCAAATTCTAAATAGAGAATACGTTTATGGGTTAATTGGTAGCCGCGCAACACTTAGACAGATATAGTCATCTCACTTCGGGAGTTCATATTCCAGTGACCTTTTTTTTCATCCCAACTTACAACAAAAATAATTAAAAATAAATGTTATTATTGAAACAGTTTTAAACATTTCTTCCAATTTTTCTTTGAACTTAATTTTATTCACGGTAAATATACTTTTGGTGTTTGTAAGCGTTTTTTTACGTTTAGTATTGGTAGGAATTATTTGCACGCACGTATTTTAAACAATTATTTTTACTGTTTCATCTAAAAATCATATGTAATTTAGTTTTATAATTTTTTAAATATAATATATATAATTTAAAATATTTTATTAACCCTATTTAAATAAGTATCAAAACTCTTTTCTTTAATTTAAAAGAATGCCTGCCCAAACCTAAACCCTCAGTTGATGTATCTCCGCTTTGCTTTTATTTGTTAACCGTTAGAAAAACATTACAAAAAGAAACATAATAGAGTCCATTAGTTTATAGCATCCGAGTAGACTCTTCCAATATTAAACAGAGTATCTTACAATTTTATTGGTTTTCTAAATTCTGTCATAGTTGCGCACTCGGTTTAGAATATTTAACGGGGGCGTAAATAAGTAACTGTAAAATTCTAAATATTTTTATTATTTTAAATTAGTTTTAACGTTTTATTATTTTGAAAAATAATAAGTTCAATAAAATAATTTATTTTAAAAATAAATTTAAGATTTTTAAAGTTTTTTTAAATAAGAATGTTTTTTTTTTTAAACCCCCTCACTGTTTTAAAAAAATTCAAGATCGCCGCGTGGCAAGTTCAAATCATCAGCTTGCTTTTTTTAATATAATTATTGTTATTTAAAATGCAAAACAAAACAACTTTATAGTTCTAAATATTTACATATTATATACCCAATTTCTTTGCGCTAATACGACTTAAAATAACATGACAAATAATAAATTTAAAATTATAATAAATAAAAGTTTACGTAAGTTAGCACACACTTTCGTTAATGTTTTCTTATAAAAAGGTGCTGCGACTCTTCCTCGCCAGTACCTCGGTTGCAATGGCTGCGTTGGGTTTTGTGTCAAACGTGCTCGAAAGGGCACTACTGCTATTATGTTCCTTATTATTATATAGTGATGATGATGATGATGATGATGATGATGATGATGATGATGATGATAAATCTTTAAAAGTGTTTTTTTTTGTACTTTAGAAAAATCGAAAAAGATTAAAAAAAAAAAAAAAAAAAAAGAAATAAACTAAGTGTTTCAAGACTTTATGTCGCAGTTTAGTAAACCAAAAATAAATAAAACTATATAGACTATGGTAGGATTCAAAATACAGGTTTTCTGATCAGAAGCTCAGCGAGCTAACCACGGCATTTTGACGAAAATTTCAAAAATATATAATAAATAAAAGACTTTGTAAATCGATCAAAATTAAAGAGACGTTGCCGCAATGCTGTTTTTAAGTGAAAGTAAAACTGTAAAACTTGACATGTTTTTGTATGTTTTAACATTTCATATTTTGAAGTTTACGTAAGTTAGATATTTGCATACACTTTTGTTCACGTTTACTTATCAAAAAGTGCTGAGACTCTTCCTCGCCATTACTTTGGTTGCAATAGTTGCCATGGGTTTGTCAAACACGCTCGAAAGAGCGCTACTAACACTATTAAGTTCGGCAATAATATATAGAGAAGATAGCTTTTAGTAAATGGTATGAGGATTAGTAATACGTCTTTAGAAAAAGTAAACGCTTTTAAAAAATGATTAACGATTAACAATTTTTAAACCAGTTATAACAGGAAATCTACCTATAAAATGAAGAAAAATATTGTTATATAAAACACTGTACTTTAGAAAAATCGAAAAATATTGTTATATAAAACACTGAATACACATATAAAAGTTGTTTAAAGTTATTTAAAAGTTGTCTAAATGTTGAAAAATTACATAATAAGATGTAAAAAAAAAATATAAAAGGTGACGAAACTTAGTCAATTATCAAACACTAAATAAGAAACTTACTTTGTGAGATCGCTTTTGTGGAAGTCTCTAGTATTTGATTGGAAGGCTGGAAACACTCTTTATTTAAAAAGCTATTTTATCAACAATGCTAAAGATAAAAAGTCACAGTGAGATAAAAAAATTAGGCACTTATTCAAAAAAATATTTCTTGGCTTTTAGTGAATGATTAGAAGGAGTAGTTTCAGTAATGAAGCTAGCTAATAATCATTTTTAACGATAGACACCAGCTTGAAGGTAAGCCAAGCTGTCTATCAACACAAAACATCACAACAGAAACATCACACAATGACAAACAAAAACACCAGTGGTGTAGGCAGGACTTTTGTTGTTTTATAAGAAATTTAAAACCTGTTAATGAATAAGATTATTATTATATGCTTAAAAAAAATACTTTTTTAACTAATTGGCAGCTAAATTCAAGGGAGGAAAGCAAACTTTTTTAAAACATATTTGTTTTCAAGCCCCAACCACATCCATATTTTACAAATTATTTGAATTTGACAAACATGAACACAATTAAGTTTAGTTGAAAGAGTCTGAAAGTAATGAAAGAGTTTGAAAGTAATGAAATAGTCTGAAAGTAATGAAATAGTCTGAAAGTAATGAAATAGTCTGAAAGTAATGAAATAGTCTGAAAGTAATGAAAGTAATAAAAGAGTCTGAAAGTAATAAAAGAGTTTGAAAGTAATAAAAGAGTTTGAAAGTAATTAAAGAGTCTGAAAGTAATAAAAGTAATAAAAGAGTCTGAAAGTAATGAAAGAGTCTGAAAGTAATGAAAGAGTCTGAAAATAAAAGTAAAACCTGAAGCATCAAAAAATCTTGCCTACGCTACTGAATAATACACAACATATGACATTTGTAAGTACACATTACACAATGTATTCAGATATTATGTGTTTCCAAAATAATTAAAAAAGCTAGACAACACAACCTAGCTTAACACTTGTAACACCGCTTGGCACTAAACGCTGCCAAGTAACACCACAATTTAGTAACACCGCTTGGCATTAAGTGCCAAGTAACACCACAAATTAGTAACACCACTTGGCTGGCAAGGATCACAATCTTGCACTACACGTTGCCAAGTAACACCACTTTTCAAACATGGAAACAACATAATATAAACTTAAACACATATAAACAAACATATACAAACACAAACATCTATATATAAGTAAAAACATATATTCACATATATAAACATATATAGCAAAGAAAAAAAACATAAACAAACTTGTCAAAATTATAAATTAAGAACATTTGTAAACACAACATTATTTGTGTAATATTTGTTAAATGACATACCTTGTAATGCATGTTTATCAACTTTAAAAAACAAACTATTAAAAGATTTTGTTCTTGAACATGCAACATATAATTGGCCGTGTGAAAAGCAAGGCTTTTTGAGATAAACACCAACTTTATCAAATGTTTGACCTTGACTTTTATTTATGGTCATTGAGTATGCTAACCTAACTGGAAATTGACGACGTTTAAGTGTAAAAGGTAAATTTGAATCTGATGGAGCTAATTGAACTCGAGGAACAAATACCCTGTTACCAGCTGATACACCTGTTAGAACCTCACCATCAATGTAATTGTTGTGTAGTGCACGCACCATCAAACGTGTTCCATTACAAAGTCCACCTTTGAGATCTAAATTTCTAAGTAGCATTATAACAGCACCAATTTTCAACTTTAGGCAATGAACAGGCATACCTGATGGAGTCAAAGTATTTAAAAACTCAACTGGAAAATTATAAATTTCATTATGATCATCAGTTTCAATGCTATCTGAACTTAAATAAGTTTTAACATCACCCGGTAATCGATGAAGGACTTCTTCATTTATTGCCAATGAATCAACATTTGTTGGTGTTAAAATAGCACGTTTTGCATAATCAGCTTCTTCTGCACCACCAAAAATCTTTTCCACAATAGATTCATTATCATTGAGAAAACACTGCTCAGGTATTTCAATACACCCTTGCAAAGGATCTTCAGGCTTGACAGGTAATGTTCCACTTCCAAGCTTTAAAAGCCATTGAGAAAATTCCTTTTCTCCTATCTGAACCCTCATATTTTCAGTTAATGAAAACCTTTGCACATATTGCCAATGTTCAGAACACTTTATACATGATTCTACAACATCTGCTGGTCGACCTCTCTTCACAACTGGAAGTATTTGTCGAAAATCTCCACCCATAAGAATAACTTTACCACCAAAAGGAAACTTATTATTACAAATATCTTGTAATAACTTATCAATGGCACTCAAAGCATGTTTGGGTATCATAGATGCTTCATCGAGTAAATATAAACTAACTTGTCTCAGGAATCTACCATGAATGGAGTTTGGAGTTACATTACATGTGCTAGTTTCCAAAATTGGAACAGGAAGTTTGAATAAGCCGTGCAATGTGCATCCATTCTTAAGAAGAGTTGCAGCTATTCCTGTCCATGCAGCTGTTGCAGTTCTAATATGCCTGCTGCGTGTTTCAGCAATTAAATAATTGTAAGTAAATGTTTTACCACAACCGGCAGGCCCATCCATAAAGAAAAATCTTGAATGCTTATTTTCATTATTAGGTTCTTCACTAAGTGCAGCAAGGATTGCATCAGCTACATTACGCTGATTATCGTTTAATAATGGTCTAACTCGATTTGCTTCATCAATAAATACCTGAATATCTCCATCATCATTTTCTAGGACATTATCTAATAACTGATCTAATGTAGGCAAATTATAATCAGTTAAAGTTTTACCACTCTGATTAATTATAGATTCAATTTGACGAAGAGCAGTCTGTTCAGCAAGTACAACTGGCATTGAATGGTGTATGTAATCCTCAATCATATAATCTTTAAATGTATTCCAAAGGTGTAAAGGATCATCAGGTTCACATAAAGTCAATATGATGGAAAACAGTTGCCTAATTTGTTTAGGCATTCGAGTTGCTACAGCTTCAGTTAATGTATTTCTCCATTCAATGTCATCTTGCAATAGACCTAATCGATAACATGCTTCACGAAATGTATTAAAAACAGTGCCATGAATAGTACGCAAATCCTCAAAAGACATTGCACCTTTTACATGCAAAAGCAACAATCTAAGAAAAAATACTTCACTGGTTAGATTGACTTTATACATTCGCACAATCACCTTATCACTGCCTCTTTGTCTTACTTTCCACTTGCAATTTTTACCATCAAAAACAAAGTGATACGGAATTTCAACATAAGAATACTGACGTGCTTCATTTATCTCAGCATTTAATTTAAACCAAGCGGTTAGGTGAGTGTCACGCTGTGCAGCACGATCTATAGCTACTCGTTCTTCTCCTTCGTTAAAATATACCCTCTGATTATCAGGAAGGTGGACTTGAAGGCGGATAATAGTATGTGACATATCACTTATAGAATACTCAAATATTCGCCAAAGAGCCTCTGGTGCAGAAACAAAGCGACAATCTAAATATGTGTTAATTTCATCATGGTCAAGACTTTCATTAATTAACACATGAGCACAATCATGCCCCTTATAGACATATTTATATAAATACTTAACTGACTTAATAGACATGCAAGCTTCAACATTAATATGTGCTTGGTATTTTTTAAATAACCAAGGGTTGTAGGGTACAACCCATTAATTATCAACTTGGTTACCTTTTATAACGACTACTCTACCATTATCTAAATGCCTGTAGTGAGGATAGCCATTGAAAGTTGCAACAGTGTGAGGATTAAATTCTTTAGGAAACTTTTTTGTGCAAATCCCATCTTTCATGCAAGAAGAATTGGGATTCAAAATTCCACATGGTCCGTGAATCATACATGTTTTTATAATTTCAAAAAGTTCAGGATCAACAGTTTGATCTGGAATTTCAGCTGATATTAGACTCTGCTGTTTCTAGCTTATCATCATTTACAAAGTGCAATAAAATATGTACATGTGGCAAACCACGTTTTTGAAACTCAATAACCTGTACATGACTTATAACTTTACCTAAGACTCCGTGTTTAAAAATATCATCTAGGAAGCATTTAAGTTTCATCTTAAATACACGACAAACTAAATCAGGTCTGTCAGATGGGCTCTTACCTGGATTTAAATTTTCTGTAATTTCTTTCCATTTTGGATTGCAGGTAAAAGTAATAAAAAGATCTGGTTTGCCATATCTCTTTATAATTGCCATTGCATCTTCAAAATTTTCTTTTAAAGCTCTTGGACTTCCAACATATGAGGATGGTAGTATAACAACACGACCTGGTCTTACATTAAGGTTATTTGCAGCGTTATTTACATGTTCATATAATGTATCATATTGTTCACTTCTAAGTCTGTTTTGGTTATTTCTAATAAAAGCAAGGCGCTGACCTTCAATCTTGACATATGCATCAACAGCATACTGTTGAAAAAGCTTCTTACCATAAAATATAGGATTAAAGGTTTCTCTAACAGAAAGCCTGTAATTGTAGTACTGAGACAAAGTAACCCGATTTCTAACACGTGTAGCTCGGTCAGGATGATGCTCTAGTTGCTCATGCCATCCAGCATCACCTCTTGGAAAAAATATTGGATATATCATTGGATCTAGATTTGCAGACATACTTGAAATTGTTTTTAAGGCCTGACCTCGAGGGTATATAACTACTTCCCTAGATGGAGGTGGAGCACCATCATCCCCAACAAAAACAATGGCAACTTCCTCATGTGAAGGAAGATTGTATCGACGTCTATCACCACCTTCAAGCAATGACATTTTAACAATCGAAGTTGGTCGACCTTCTAAAGCTGCTTGACGTACTTCTTCATCTTCAATTTCAGCCATGTTTTTAAATGCAAGAGCAAATGGGTTCTCTTGACTAATTATAGTCTGCAAAAATTCCATCAACTCACGTATGCAACAATCATTTTGCTCCATTCGAAAATTTAAAGCAGTATTAGGATCATAAACATATAACTGACAATATGCAGGCAGAACATTTTGATCAGGTCTCAGATTACCTACACGATGCACAAATTGTCCGCAAATCCTAAAACAGGGTGGCCCATGATCAGACGGAGGAGCTATTCTTGCTGTGAATAAAGCAAAAGATAAACAGGCATTATAACTTCCAATATGCTTGAAGAAATTTTGATTCATAGCACGATCAACATGGTTGCCTGTCATTAAATCGTCCATGAGCAGTGGATAAGGCAAAAGTGGAGCTAATGCAACTTTTCCAGAATGGCAGCACAGAAAATGTGTTTCATTTAAAAAATTTTTGGCACCACAATATTGACAAATATGGTTCATTTCTCCAAGGTAATTACTCACTATAAAAACATTATTTCTTGCTATGCAATGCATTCCACGTCTATGTAATACTCTCCTAGCCTGATTTCTTTTATTTTGGCGACGATTAATTTGTTCTCGCCTAGCCTGATTTCTTTCATTTTGGCGAGGATTAAATTCTTCTCGCCTTGCCTCATTTCTTTCATTTCGGCGAAGATTAATTTCTTCTCGCCTTGCCTCATTTCTTTCATTTTGGCGACGATTAAGTTCTTCTCGCCTAGCCTCATTTCTCTCATTCCGACAATTTCTTCTTATTTCAGCTCTCAAGTTATTTGACATAACTAAGAAACTATGTTTGATAAAACTTGATTTGATTAATTTTTTGTTACACTAATCTAAAATGGAAAAACATAATATGTGCATTTCTAATTATCAATATAAACTCTATAAGACTATTTATATATTTTCTAATAAAAATTATTGACCTAAAGTCTTAACTTAACTGGTTTAAAACAGAGAAAAACCTAAAAGTTAAACATAAGTTGAACCACTAAGTATTACATTTAAAGTAATAAAACAAAATATTTTAGAAATAAATTAAATTAAAATTATAACAATTTTAACAAATTTTTAATGCTAATAATAACTAAACTAAATAGTAAAATTATTTACAAATAAAAAAACGACATGCCAAATTGCAAATTGCAAATAAAACTTGTCTAACATGTAGCATCATATAGTTCACATGTGGCTATCTTTAATGATTACTTTTTTATAATAAAAATCTAAAGAGAA